CTGAAGTTGAATAATCTGTGGCCACTTCTAAATGGACGGCTGAAGTGGCTAAACAAACAAACAGAATAAGATAGCCTTTATACGTCTTACTACCATGTCCTCGAAGATGCTTCAAATGAAAAGGTCCGGCGTAATCAACACCGGTGTGTAGAAACGGGCTTGATGATATGACTCTTGAAGGCGGAAGTTGGCCCATCAACTGCTGGCTGATGACTGCTCGTTGTTTCGTACAAATCATACATCGATGAATGAACGAACGGACAGGTACTCGCCCTCCAACGATCCAGAAATGGCGTCGGATTGAAGATAAAGTTAGTTGAGTTCCTCCATGCAACGTAGCTCGATGATGTTTGTCGATCAGAAGAATCGTAATTGGCGAATCTTTTGGAAGGACGATTGGATGCTTCTCATTCCAATCCAAATTTGAAAATCGAAGGCGTCCGGTCACTCGTAGATAACCTTTACCGTCTATGAACGGAGAAAGTCGGAAAAGAGAACTTGGACGCGGCACTACACGGCCGTCCGTTAGAATTTAAATTTCGTCCGAGAAATAAAGTTCTTGACACTCGCGCACCCAGAACATTAAAGAGTCGTTCAGTTCATCAGGAGAAAGTATGTCTGAAAACTTTGAATTAGTCTTTACTTTATGAAAAAATCTCTTACACCAAGCAGTGACTCGCAGAAGCTTGTTCAACGACGAATATTTCAACTTTAAATCCCATCCTTTTTTCATAGCAGTTGCGGTGTTGGATGTATGGATAGAACGTGCTTCTGGAATTTCTTTGGCATCCGAATTGGGCCAAAGAGATGGCCATTCTGAGGGTGGTGAGCGAAGCCAAGACGGTCCATTCCACCATAACGTTTCGGCTTCAAGTTTCGTCACTGAAACTCCACGGGAAGACAAATCGGCCGGGTTTTATTTCGTCGAAACGTAGCGCCAATGAACATGAGAAAGCTCCTGAATTTCTCTTACTCTATTCCGGACGAAATCTTTCCATCTTGAAGGATGACTGCAGATCCAAGAAAGTGCCACCGTAGAATCACTCCATAGAAAAATTGGAACTTCGTTGAAATCCAGTGTTGCTCGAACGCGTTTTATCAACCGAACTAACAACACGGCGGCGCACAATTCAAGTCGCGGAATGGTTACGCGTTTAAGAGGTGCCACTTTCGTTTTAGAAAAACGAAGAGAAACGCGAACATCATCAGCTCTTGAAACGCGAAGATAAACTACCGCACCAAAGGCACTAGTTGAAGCATCCGCGAACCCGTGCAATTCAGTCGAAGAACAATCGCGAGTAATTCCAAGCCATCTCGGAATGCGAATTACCGGACACGTTTGAAAAGAGTTAATGTATTCGTTCCATTGAAGAGAAAGGTCATGTGGAAGGATTTCGTCCCATTCGAGATTACAAGTCCACAAATTTTGCATAAAAATCTTCGCAGTTACAATGATCGGAGAAAGCCACCCGAGGGGGTCGAATAAACACGCAATGAATGATAGAAATTTATGCTTAGTAAGTTCCCGGAAGTCAAAATCGTCATAATTGAAACAAAATAGAAAGTCATCGGTGGAATTGTTCCAAAGAATACCCAATGCGCGAGGGGAATTGTCTTCTTGAACACGCAGTGTTTCTGTATCGGATAGAAGGTCTGAAGGAATATATGCGAGCGCTTCTGAAACATTTGAAATCCACTGTCGCGCTTGGAAACCGCCCGCCGTTAAAACTCGATTTAATTGAAAGATTAATTATTGAACTTCATCAATGTCATTAGCACCGGAAATGATATCGTCCACGTAAGTGTCGCGAAAAAGAGCAGAAGAACCGAGAGGCTGCTCTTCAACATGTTCTTCCGCTAACTGTCGAATACAACGAATTGCGAGATACGGCGCGCATGAAAGTCCGTACGTTACCGTTGTCAGGTCGTAACTTTGAAGAGGTTCCGAAGGATTTTCACGCCAGACGATTCGTTGAAACTGCCAATCATCTTGATGAACGTCAATTTGACGATACATTTTCTCTAAGTCACACGCGAACGCGACGGGATGGCGTCTCCACCTTAGAAGAACATCAACAAGTTCACTTTGAAGTTTCGGACCAGTATGAAGACAATCGTTTAACGATAATCCAGATGATGTTTTTTGTGATCCGTTGAACACGACACGAAGCTTAGTAGTCGTACTAGATTCGCGAATCACCCCGTGATGCGGAAGATAGAAGTTGGGTGATTCGACTGGCACTGTAACGGGACGCATATGATTTAAATCGAGATATTCGCGCATAAATTTGCTATACGCGGTCTTGAAGCTTTCATCCCGCGCGAATCTTAACTCGGAACGAGAAAAAGTCTTAACAGCGATCATATAAGAATTTCCCAATTCACGCGGAGACTTTCGAAATGGTAAACGAACAATAAAACGTCCAGAGCTGTCACGCGAATGTGAATTGACGAAATGTTTTTCACAATCAATTTCGTCGGTAGATAAACACGGCTTAGAACTTGATTCTTCTTCTATCGTCCAGAACTTTTGCATTAAATCCGCGAATTCACGATCTATCGAACACTGAAAACCATACGGGTTGAAGTTTGATTGTGATTGATTCGACAGTACGCCGGAAAGAATCCATCCAAACGCGGTTTGCTGAGCAATCAAAGAACCATCACTGCTTCGTTTAACACCATTTTGAAGAATTTTAGAATATAAACTCACACCAAGAATCAAATCAATTCTTTTTGATGATGAGATATCTGAATCGGCTAACGGTAAATTCAGTAGCTCAATCGGTAACTGAGCAGAATATTTTTGAGGTAAATAAGCGGTTAATTTCGGCAATATTAACGCTTCTTCGTTGAATGAAAGAAATGGATTGAATTGCGAACTTAATTGAACTGTAACAATTCCGTTTGAAATACTTGTACGTTGCGAACCAATTCCGGAAATAGGAATACTTGCTGGTTTTCGCGGAAGTTGAAGCTGTTGTACAAGTGACTCGGTGATGAAAGAAACTTCGGATCCTTGATCAATAAGGGCTCGAACGATGACGGAATGTCCACGCGATGATTCAATCCGTACTAAAGCTGTAGCCAACAGTACCGGAGCATGAATGTGGTGTGAATGTAAAAGATGATTCGAACGGTTAAGTCATTAGCGGTGATGCTCGGTTGTTCTTGTATGGACGCGAAAACTGTAACTGACTTTGAAGGTTGAACTGAAGATTGTATTCTTGTTGAAGTTGAGCGTCGTGGCGCGTCGTGAAGAGACGTATGGTGAGATTTGCGACAAACGCGACGTCGTTTAGAAACGCGACATTTGTTGACGGTGTGTGAACCAAGACAATTGAAGCATAACTTCCGGTATATCACAAAATCCTGCCGTTCTGCCGGGCTTTTTGAAAGGTAAGCCGGACATGAAGAAATGTAATGCGCTGAGTGGCACATAACACAACCATTTACAGGAGAATAAGCATTATGAGCTTTCACACTAGAGACTTTTGAACCCGTTGAAATGGAATGCACTTTACGGCTAGATTGAAGATTTTCGACAGCTTCCAAGGTGTGAATACGGTTCATCAGAAAGTCCTCAAGCTCATCGAACGTTGACGGATCGCGATGATTTCCAACCGATCTCTCCCATTCTTTAACGGCGTCTGTATCTAATTTTCGTACAATTAAATATACGAGAATATAGTTCCAATGCTGAATCGGACATTTCAATACTTTTAAGGCACCGAAAGCTTCTTTAATTTCCCCGACAAGACGTTTAAGTTCGCTAGAAGAATCACTCTTTACGGTACGCGCGGGAAATAAAATCAATAATTGAGTCTCCATTAATCTCCAACCCAACCCAACCCAACCCAACCGTCGATTTTCATACCGGTCAATCAATATTTGCCACGATCTTGAAAAGTTATCACCGGTAACAGAAATTTTTTTTTAGAAACTGAGCGGGTTCACCGGTTAAACTCATTTTTAAATATTGAAGATGTTCGACATCGGTAAGGTCTTCATTGTCATTGACCATCGTAGAAAACAAGTCCTAGAATTGAGCCCAATTGGCGTATTTACCGTCGAAGGTTGGAAGATCAATTTTCGGTGAATGACGCGAACGCGATGACGAATAACTGACGTTTGAAACTGGTTTTGTATCAACTTCCGGGGTCGGAGACGGCGGAAGAGGATTTAACAAATCAAGCAATGTCCCCTTAGCATCGAAATAAGCTTCCTCACATTCAGAAAAAATGTCCTCGGTGAAATATATCGTATCCGAATACTTGTCGCGATACTGAATTAATTGTTTATGAGCATTATTAAACTCATCCCAATTAGTCTCAAGTCGTTCCAAAAGACTTTGAAAGTTCCCGCGGGTACGTTTAGCGATCGCGAGCTTTTTCAAATTATCTATTGTCCGAGAAATTAACCCGTGAATGTCATTTTGCCGTTCGAAAATCGGGTTTAAGTCAATTTCACGAGTGGTCGCCATGGTAACGTAAACACACAATAAGGAAAATGAAAAATCGAAAAATACTCAAAACGCCTCAAAAAATCTCGGCCTTCTCTCCACACTTCCGGTTATATCCGGCTCGAAGGACCAACAAATGTTAAGCAATAATCGAGACCGGCGCGGGAAAAATCTGAGACGCTTATAGAAAGTTACTTAAAAACGCGGATGTTAAAAAAAACTGTCAAAAAAAGGAAAAATCTTACTGTTCTTGTAGAAAAAGTAGAAGTATCTCTTCGAATAGAAAATAAAAGCCGAAATGCCTTTTATCGAACGTATGTATCTATTAACACAATTGAAACTACTGTTTTAACGAAAACTACACGTAACGATTTTATTACACTTTAAGATGTCAACAACAACTCGTAAGAACAACTGAATAACAATAACTAATAAAATACGGAACGGCCCACTAATTAACTTAAATTATAAAAACTTTGAACAACATCTAATTTACTCAAACGTTATTTTGTTGAGATAGAGTTGTTTACAAACTGATCTATATTTGATTAATCATACTAGTTAAAGGAACATATTTGAAAACACGATCATGTAAGATTAAACAGTAGACGAAAGTAGCATTAGGTATCTCTTCACTCGTTTCAAATTCAATGCCAATATCAACGGTTTCAACATTTAAAATATCATTTTGCCGTGAACAATCAATTACAATAAGCGGTGTATGTGCTAAAAATGTATCTCTGTTAAACATTGGTTCTGCAAGTTCTCGATCGTAATAGGTCTTTACAAAATTACAATACATTTCATAATAATTTCATATAAAACTGCAATTTTACCTGTCTTAAAATTTAAATTTAAAGCTTCATAGAGATATTTCTCGCTATTTAAAAACACTTTCATATCTGTTAAATTACAGTGGTCAAATTGTGATGCAGAACGTAACGGATTATCTTTTCTATTGATTTGAAACCCTAATATAAAGTATCTGGGCTTTTGTAATTGAGTAGATGTTTTAATTGTCCATGTGTGTTGTCTACTTTTTGGTAATGATAGGTATTCATGTAAATCAAATGATCTAAATCCCATGTCTAATTTAATTCCTTGTTCAATGTACTCTAAAAGTTTTAAACGTTCAACATCGGCTACAGAAACATGAGGGACTTTCCATACTATTTTATTAATAGTAATCATCACATTAGGTAAAAAACAAACAACTTTCGATAACATTCTTGTCTGAATTACTGCGTACCAAAACTAATTCTTGACGGACATTTATCAAAATTTTATTATAATCTTCTGCGAACCCAAGAAAATATTTCACAACACAAAAATCAAAATCTCCTGTATTTTCATTTACTTTAACATTTGGATATTCGAAACCTGCGTTAGAGGCATGATAGTATTCCGATCTTGTTAATGAGCAAAGATTTTTTAATGTGCTAGCTATTCCTGGATTTCTTACTCTGTCAATTACGTTCCCTCCACATTCAAATCGTACTTCACTAAACATATGAGCGATCGGATTTGCTGACAATTTTGAATCTTTATCAACGGTTCCGTCATCTTTCAATAGTTTCCCTTGTACGTAAATAAAAGATTGACTTAGTAACGTGTAAACGTCCTGTTGTTGAATTGCAATACGAATTTCACCGCTATTGTTAAAAGAATTTGATGAATATGGTAAATGATTATGATACTGAATCCGTACAAGTGAATTATCAAATTCTACTTTATCAGAGACGTTTAAGATACTCATATTGAAAATTATTTTATTAATTGTAAACCTAATGATTCAAGAAATTGTTTGTTTTGAGGTGTTAACTGTTTCACAGTGTGAAGAGAACTAAATGTATTGGTTTGATTTTGTGGGTTTATATTACCTTTTACCTTAAGAACCATTATTACTAGAGAGCTTTAAATGTAGTCTTATCTTGATGACTTCTCCTCTGAAATTGACCAACAATCCGTTTTGATCAACTATTTTAAGGGTAATATTATTAATTATTTGTGTATTCAGGCATATATATTAAATTGTGGGGAGTTTCTGATATTTTATAACCTTTAGGTACTGTAGGGAAAAATGAGTAGATAGTGTGCGCAGGTATGTCGTTGTGATAAGCTCCTTGTGTTATGTTACATAGTACTTGTATAGAATTTACTTTAAATATATCTACAATATTTCGAGCTCTGTGCGGGGATTTTATTGGATCCAGTACATCTGATTTATTAAATCCTAATATTGTTGAGATGGAGTTGTTTACATTAAAATCAATAGTTTTGTTACATGTGATCACTGCTTGTAGCGTATCCTCATTTGCTTGTAGGCTAAAGTTCACACCATTAATATTCTTTTCTTTAAGTTGTTTATTAATAGCATTCGAAATGTGTATTAATTCATAAGGTCCTGTTGGTAGTGCTATCAATTCATTATCAATTTTTAAGCAATTATTTGTTTCATCAATATTTGGAATTGAGTTGTATCCATCAAAGCTTACAAGTACCAGTTCATATTGATCATTAGGATTCAGTCTTATTGCAGGGTGGTAATTTGCTGTTAGAACAGATGTTTTTCCTACTAAATCAAACGTCCACATCCTTTGATTGTTAAAGCTATAATGCGTCTGATGATAAGAAATTTAAACATAAATGACCACAATTACTTGTGTTATAGGTTTGATATTGATGGTGATTATATTTAATAATTACATTATTTCCAGCACTCTTGAAATAATTCACTAATTCATTTCTTTACTTGGTTTTAAATTACCAAAACTATCGAAATAAGTAATTATATTTCCCTTTTTAATATAGGCTGTCCAATGAGTACCAGGTCCTTTCACACTATCCAAGTTAATAATACCTCTTTCATTATTATTAATACGCACAGGTAATTTATCTTGCATGAATATCCCTCTAAACTCTGGTATCCCTAATATTTTCACATAACGCATCAGGTCAACGTTTGTTAGCGCTTTCTGCTGTTGTATGGTTTTTCTTGGCGTGTCTTTAAAAAAACACCTAATCCTTTTTTATATGGTTTTAAATACAGACCTTTACCTAAAGCTATTGATTCCATCGTTTGATTATGTCTTTGACTTTCCTTGAGTGCCGCTTGTGCTTGCTTCGTTTTATTGACAGCACTTATAACGGAAGCAGTGCCACCTGCTAGAGCTCCTAATGCACTTAAACCAGCAAAAATTGGAATGAGCGGAAGTATACTACCGCTTGTTGGAATTGTAATAACTGTAATGGAAAAATACCTTAATAGATTTCATGAATTAAACCATGTGCAATCGTACGCCAAAGAAAGGAAATATCATATATTGTTGACGACAGCAATTCGGCCGTCGACGTAGGTAATAGGAATAAGTAGAATAGAATAGTATGAGAAGTCTTAAGCAAGCTCTCATCGATTAAACTCGCGACCGGTGTAATTGTATTATAAGGGAAATAAAATATGTTTTAAAATTAACACTTTGTGTTTAAATAAAAATCTGATAAACTATAACGTGAAGACATTACATGGCGATCCTGCCAGCCCTGGACATTAAAAACTAGTAATATTATGTGTAAAAAAAAAATAATATATAATATATATAAAAAGTGTTAAAATGTCATATACGGATGAAGATTATACACTGACAAGGGAAGTATCAGAACTGTCCCTCACCGATTTTGCTGAAATTTGGTACAGCGATAATATGGCCAAAAATAAGGTTTAAGTATTTTTTTATACGTGCTAATAAAGCCACTGGGGCGAGTTATAAGGGTTGGAAATCGGGGCGAAATATATATATTCGCTTATAGGCTGAAAACGAAAATAGCTATCGAAATGTGGTAAATGTAAACTGATATTCATTTTCAAAGAGCTTTCCATTGATATATCACACATATATCTGAGGGCTTCAGGGGGTAAACTACCCCTAGTTTTTTGGAATATTTTAAAAACTACCCTGTCGATTTTGGCGATATTATGTATCCTTATAGTACGTTTAAAAATATTAATGACGTGCTTTTTTTCGTTTGCCTCTGACCATCCGTCAGCAATAATGTATCGGAAAAAATATTACAAGTCAATGACGCTAATTTCATAGAAGTGGAATGTGAAGGACAATTATTACGATTGTTAATTGATACAGGCGCTACAATAAGTGCTGTTTTTTCAAAATTTGTTAATAACTCTTATATAGATAGTTCTCAAAAAATTAAACTAAACGGTATCTGTGGTTCTATGTTTTCGGAAGGGATATGTAAAATGACAATTATATTTCAGAATAATACGATATCCCACGCATTTCACGTTATTAGTTGTTCTCACGATTCTATTCATGGAATTATAGGCTTAGACTTTTTATTAAAATACAACGCTAATCTAAACTATGAAACGTTTACAATGTCTTTACAAATCAATCAAAGGAAAATTTGCATTCCGTTATTATCGAAACATAAACAATACACAGTTATTCCACCACGGTGCGAAATCATTAAACATATTAAAACATCAATAGAAAACGATTGTGTAATTTTACCAACCGAAATTTGTAAAGGAGTTTTTACAGCCGGTATCCTTGCTAGACCACAACAAAATTTAATTCCAGTTAGAATACTAAACGTTAATGACAAAGAGGTTCGAATTACAAATTTTAAACCAGTTGTCGAAGTACTCTTAAATTATGATTTTTATAATTTTCAAGAACAAAATATATCGGTTAATCGTATAGATAAAGTACTTAACTTAATAAACACTAAAAATCTGAATAAAGAAGAAGAAACAGCTATTCAAAAAATATGTGCAAAGGTTGCAGATGTTTTTCATTTAGAAGGAGATCCTCTCGAAGTGACTAATATTTGCAAACAAAAACTTTACTTGCAAAAAGATGCTGTGCCAGTATATGTAAAACCTTATCGACAACCTCGAACACAGAAAGCTGAAATACAAACATTGATGAAAACGAATTTCTGTTTGAACCTGCTCCCGAAATATTCTATGATATATGTAAAAATTGTGTTTTGATAATAAAATACACGTTCATCACAATACCTAATAAATAGAGACCGAAATTTTATGCACAAAATTTATGCAAAATATGGGCATATATATGCAGTAAAGATAAGAAAATATGCAAATTTCTTATAAAAATATACAAAGTTTTTGTTAAAATATGCATGCATTTTGTACTACTGTTAAAATAGTATATTAATTTATATACAAAGTCGGTATTTGTTTAATAGGTTCAATTCAAAATAACAGCTAAAGATTTAAAAACTCTATTTTATTAAAATAAAAAAAAGTACAACTAAATAAAATATATTTATAAACAAGCGACTACAAACTTCAGCATACATAAAAATCGATATATACAGGATATCCCGAAACTCAACGTCAAACGGGCACCGGGTGAGAGGCCAACTCATACCTGTTCTGGTAAAAATAAGAAAAAAGTTCTATGTGTCTTAGTTAAGTGGTAATAGACATATTTTTGAAAATGTTAAAAATCGTTCCCGTACGTCATATCTTTAGGTATTACGGTTAGAAACATTCGCAATTTAATAGTGACTTTTTTTAATAATGTATTCCTTATGAACCATCCTACTATAGCAGTAGAGATTTGCACAACTAGTAAAAAGATCTTTTCTGCGACGATTAGCGCTTGTATTAGGATTATTGCATATTTAACAATTTGAGCATTTGCTTTAGTTTTAAGAAAATAATGCTACGAAATTAATAATTCATTTTGTTTGTTTAATTTTGTCTTTACGTCAACATTATTTGAAACAGTCCTTTTACAAGAGATAAGGGCAACCATCTTGTTGAAACCACATTTTGTAGTTCGTAGATATTGAGTGGCACATTTTCTAACAAAGTTAAGAGGAAATAAAGAGTAAATACAAATAGAATACGAAAGTATAAATTTTTTAAATAAAGTGTTTTTTGCAGAAAAACACAATATTATTTTTTATGGAAAGAAAAATGGTAAGTGTTGTACAAGGCCATCTTTTAAAATAATTTGCCAAGGGTGTTGTACTACTCCTTTTTTTAGAAATCGTGTGTCAAACATAATAGACTTAAATTCTTTCAACTTTAACTCAATCAAATTTTGCAAAACTAACGACTTTTGTTGTTTGATTTGCGACTTCTATAGTAGCATGGTTCACAAGGAATACATTATTAAAAAAATCACTATTAAAATTGCGAACATTTCTGACCGTAGTATCTAAAGATATGATGTACATGACCGATTTTTAACATTTTAGTAGAGAATAAAGGCCGGTTCTGGACCGGAAGTGCTCCCCAGCTCCCCCTGATCCTGCGCATGCGCGCCGGAAGTGACGTCACGACATCCTTAAGGATCATCCTTAAGGATCGGTCGACGGTGGCGCCACCTAGCGGTACATCCTTAAGGATCATCCTTAAGGATCGGTCGACGGTGGCGCCACCTAGCGGTACATCCTTAAGGATCGGTCGACGGTGGCGCCACCTGTAGCATCCTTGAGGATCGGTCGATGGTGGCGCCACCTGTAGCATCCTTAAGGATCGGTCGACGGTGGCGCCACCTGTAGCATAATTAAGGATCGAAGGATCGGTCGACGGTGGCACCACCTGTCAATTTGTTTTGTAAAACGGTTAAAACTTCTAAATAATAACTGTTTTAAGTTGCTCCCCCGTGAAATAATATTAATAATAATAATAATAATAATACTTACCTTAAAATAGGTTCTCTATTACTGATTGAGGGTAGGAGGAGGAAGAGAAAA